CCCTGCACATGCACAGCAGTTGTGCGGATCTGCAGTCTGATACTCCTCCAGACCTGCGTTGGAAGCATTTCCCACTATTTCTCCCAAAACCTCTATGGAAATGTAACACCCAATTCCTGGAGCTAGATTGGGAGTTGTCTTGTGAACTATACTGGGTGCCCTTAGGAGCTGTGCTGCAGACCAAATTCAAATTGCGGGGTGAGGGTGTAGGTAAAGGTAAAGGTAGTCCCCTGACATTAAGTCCAGTCATGTCTGACTCTGGGGTGTGGTGCTCATCTCCATTTCTAAGCCGAAGAGCCAGCGTTGTCCTTAGACACCTCCAAGGTCATGTGGCCGGCATGACTGCATGGAGCGCCGTTACCTTCCCGCCGGAGCGGTACCTATTGATCTACTCACATTTGCATGTTTTCGAACTGCTAGGTTGGCAGAAGCTAGGGCTGACAGCGGAAGCTCACGCCGCTCCCCGGAATCGAACCTGCGACCTTTCGATCAACAAGCTCAGCAGCTCAGTGCTTTAACCCACTGCACCACCGGGGGCTCCTGCACCACCGGGGGCTCCGGGGTGAGGGTGTACATAAAAGCAATCTTCCTTGCTTCCAAGGCACTGGGTTTGGTATTGTGGGGCATAATCTCTCGAGAAAGCACTATCACACCAATTGAAGACAACACTTAGACCACTGCCCTCTAGTGGATGCTTCCTGCACCTGCAGGAACCTTGGTGGACTTCCCCAACAGACTTACTCCTCTGATCAGCACCAGTTTCAGTTCCCAGGGTGCCCGAAAGCACTACACTCACCCCAGTCTAAGCAGAAGGTGTCTCTTTGGCTGTTTTCTCCATCTTGTGTTGAGGGCCTTCTCTTGGGTGTTTGTTTAGGATTTGAAGCCACCATTTTTGTGTGGAGTGTTACCTTTGTTGATCCCCAGGCCATTCATGCATTATGAGAAATGGAAATGGTATGTGTTGTCGAAGGTTTTCATGGCCGGAATTACTGGGTTGCTGTGAGTTTTCCAGACTGTATGGCCATGTTCCAGAAGCATTCTCTCCTGACATTTTGCCCATATCTATGGCAGACATCCTCAGAAGTTGTGAGGTCTGTTGGAAACTGAGCCATGGCAAGACCACTGAAAGCATTGGCGAAGGCTTTCATGGCTGGAATCACTGGGTTTCTGTGAGTTTTCCGGGCTGTATGGCCATGTTCCAGAAGCATTCTCTCCTGACGTTTTGCTCACAACCTCTGAGGATGCCTGCCATAGATGTGGGTGAAACATCAGGAGAGAATGCTTCTGGAACATGGCCATACAGCCCGGAAAACTCACAGCAACCCAATGTAAAGGATAGTTTCCTGATGCTCTGTGTTATGTGGAAATCAGTTCAAACACACATCCAGGTAAGTAAAATCTGGAAAGCAAGGAGTTTGCTTGTCAAAATAGCATGATGGAACAGCAGAGCAAGGGGATATCAACAATATGATTTTTTTTCAGGCACATCAGAGCGGGTGATTTTGTGGGGTGGGGGGGGAGAGATCACTGCAAAAATGTATTCTGTGTTTTGTTGTTTAGGCCAATGACAGCAGCATACACTTGCAATAATGTTCCTCAGATAAAAAAATCTAGTTTCCCAAAATTGAACAGCTAGTTATTTGTGCTTGACTCTGTAAATACTTGGATGAATCTGGAATCAGAGCAGTTTCACGCCCTCTGTTTGTGTGGTAAGCTCTGAACTCAGTGGCAGAACACAGGACTTTACCTGAGCAGGGCTTTGGAGAACCTCCCAAAATGGTGTGATGGAGGAGCATTTGGTGGAAGCACTGCCATCACCATTCTTCCCTACAGCATCTAGATGTTGGCTGGGAAGAGCAGAGCAATGAGAAAAGCCAGGTTGGGAAAGCAACCAAAAATGTCTGCTGGATCATAGCAAGAGTCTCATGAAGCCACTTTCTGACAATATCCAGGTGCTTATTCTTTGTCACCTGTCAGCTGTTTTCCAGTACACTGCCTCTGACCATAGAAGTTTCACTTACCTATTTCATGGTCACCAATAGCCATTGAGAGACCAGCCTCCTCCAGAAATGGGTCAAATCTCTCTCTAAAGCAGTGGTTTTCAACCTGTGGGTCCCCAGGTGTTTTGGCCTGCAACTCCCAGAAATCCCAGCCAGTTTACTAGCTGTGAGGATTTCTGGTAGTTGAAGGCCAAAACATCTGGGGACCCACAGGTTGAGAACCACTGCTCTAAAGCCAGCTAAGCTGGAAGTTATGCTTACAACACATGGCCACAAACCCTTGGCACTTGCCTGGTGTGAAAAAGTCTCATCTGCCTTGCAGCTCTTATTGATTCATTTCATTGGTTAGCTCTAGCCTCTGAGTTTTAACATTCTGAGAGGGAAGAGACAAACATTTCTTTTTGCCCACACTCACTATTCAGAACATCTTTTCCACCAAGCCTTTGTTCTGAACTAAACACTCTCGGACATTTTAGGTTTTCCTGATGGAGGGTAGCAATCTCTGGCAGATTTTGGGCAATGGTGGTGCTCAGATGGAAAGCAGACAGAAGTAGCTCTATCAAAACTATCTAATCATAGGAGATAAAGAGAGCAAGGCCTCTGGAAGGTGATGGGACAGAAAAGGAAATCTGAGCTTAAGCAGGTGGAGCCTTGACTCTCCACCACCTTCAGTTTTCCCTCCATGTGGTTAAGGCTGAGTCCTTGTAACTTGAAGCCATTCTGACTAAATTCAGTTGGACAGAAGTGTTAGATTGGGATTCAAAAACTAAAGAAACCAAAATAGATTGGAGTTCATTTGGAGGAGATCAACAAGTGGATGTCAGGTTTATCTCATAATCAACTCATCATTTTCTTTTCAGTCACAAATGAAGGTTTCTTCTTTCCATACAGACTTTCTCCAGGTGGCTACTTGCACACTTTGAACTTTTACACAGTTATAAAAACCTGCAGACTCTCAAAAATAAGATATTACTAAGCTAATATCTGAGCACCTTGGACAGCGCCTGAAAGTTCCAACTAAAATCTCAAATCAGTTCAGTCCTGGTCAAAAATCCTTGAAATCATAGAATCAATTACATCTGCCATGGGAAAAAGCACAATCAAAGTACCCCTGACAGATAGCCATTCAGCCTCTGCTTAAAAGCCTCCAAAGAAGGAACCTCCACCAGATTCCTAAGCAGTGAATTCTACTGTTGAACATGGTCAGGAACTTCTTCCTAATGTTCAGGTGGAATCTCCATTCCTGTAATCTGAACCCATTGCTCTGAGTCCTAGTCTCCAGGGTAGCAGAAAACATGCCTCCTTCCTCCTTGTTATGACTTCCCCTCACATATTTATACATAGCTATCAGGTCTACTCTCCACCTTCTCTTCTATAGGCTAAACATACCCAACTCTTTAAGCTGCTCCTCATTGTATCATTACTACTACTACTACTACTACTACTACTATTAGCTTAATGATACAAAAGGTATCCTTAAATGCAAAATACGTGCATGGACCAAACTCAATCCCAGTTTGGCTAACCCAAACCCAGCATTGTTTCCTTGAATGCTTGGTTGCTTCTCATGCACTTCCCATGGAAACCAGGCCCTCTTCCTCTCCCCTGTGGACTGGTTAGCGAGAAACCCCAGGGGCAAACCGAACCCATTTCGGATTGTGATGGTTCTTGCCCGGGTGGGCCCTGAGTTTTCTCGTCCTTCCTCTTTAAATGGTGCAGTGGCTACTTGCTTTCGGGGCTGATCCCCAAAGGAATGGCGAACCATCTGCCCCTTCCTTCTGGGAGACATTCCTTGAGAGGTCTGCTGGGGATCGCAGCCTTATTATGGAAGGAGCCCCTCTCCTGAAAGCGAGGGGCTTTACTAGAGAGTCAAGGAGGTAGGGTTGGGGTTCAGGAGATTTGGAAAGCCACTGGGAGGCTTGGGGGGGGGGGGGGGTTAGAGTGGGGCGGGGTTCTGCTCCTCTTCCTTGCGAGGCAGATGGCTTTGCCCCCCCCCCCCTTCCCCAGGTCCGTGCCAGGTTTCAGCTTCACGCTGTTATTTTGTCCTCCTCTTCTTTGGCTCGCCTTCCCAGGGAGAGGACAAAAGGCAAATCCCTTCCACAGGAATGGCAGGACACGACGGAGGGGGGGGGGGGGAAGCGAGAGGAGGGCTCAGATGCATTTCTTCACCACCACCCCTCCCATCCGCGGCCAAAGAAAGGGCGATGAATGGGGCCGGCCCAGAGGGGCTCGGTGGGGCGCTCATTATAGTCCACTTAGCCGCCCCCTCCGCCGTTCAAAAGTCTCCCCCCCCCCCAGCCCCCGCTCTCCCTCCCTCCTTTCCTTCCTTCCTTTTTTCCTCCTTGGCTTTCTTTCGCCTGTCACGGGGAAATAATACAGACGTGGGCGCCTCCGACGGGGCTATTCTCGGCCTCGGCGCTAACGAGGGCTTCATGAGCTTTTGACAGAGGGTCACCTTTCAAAGCTCTCCAAGCCCCGCTCCCCTCCCCGTTGGGACCAAATCCGATTTGGAGCGCCCTCTCCCTTCCCTGCCAAAGGCTCAGCAGCATCCTCGGGGTCTCTTCCCCGCTTTCCCTGCTGCGTAGAAACACGGGAGAGGAAGGGAGAGGAAGAACAGGGAGAAGAAGCAGCAGCAGCCGCAAGTTGGACCTATTCTTCTTCTTGCCTCTTTTGCGGCGAGAGAGAGAAACCCCGGAGATCTCCCCGCCCTCTAAGTCGGTGTCCTGGAGGGCTCCGTTCAAGGCTGACCCTCAAAGATCCGCGTTCAGCCAAGTAACGGCGCTTCCTAGAAGCGGATCTCGGTCCCGCGCCAAGAAGAGGCTCTCTGTCTCCAGCCTCCTTCGCCTGGAGCCACGACCCCGACCCAAAGAGGAGCGGGAAGGGGGGGATAACCCACCCCCAAATACAGAAGAGCCGACGGTCAGAGAGGCGAAATTCCTTCCAACACTCCCCGCCCACCGCCCCACTATCTATCTATGTATATATGGGAAGGCTTTTCGGGGCGTGTCCAGTGAGGAAAGGGAGCCTGCGATAGGCTGAGAGGCGGCGCGGATTTGCATACGCGCCTCTATTAGAGACCCCAAGGAGGGGCCGCTGGAGCTGAGAAGCGGAGTGGCGCGAGGGAGGGACGGGCCAAGGAAGGAAGGCAAGACGGAAGGCAAGCGAAGGCGAGCGCTTGTAGCTCCGAGCCGAGGACTAAGCCCCCTGCCCGCTTCCGCCTCCTCCTCGGTCCCCACAGAAAGAGGAAGCGGAGGAGGATGTGGGGCGCCCCGTGGCCTGCCTTCTGCCTGTTGCTCTGCCTGCTCCCGCCCGCCGCGGGGAAGACGCTCCGCTACCACATCTACGAGGAGGAGCCGCCCGGGACGGTGATCGGCACCCTGGCCGACGACCTGCCCGCGGAGCCGCCCGGGGAGCGCACTTTCCGCCTGCTGAAGCCTCCGGGCAACGGGTCCCTGGTGCGCGTGCGGGAGCGGGACGGGCAGCTGAGCCTGGGGCCGGAGCGGCTGGACCGGGAGGCGCTGTGCGGGGCCTCGTCGGCGTGGTGCGCGCTCTCCTTCGACGTGGTGTGCCTGGGGGGCGCGGGCTCCTCGTCGCCGTACCAGGTGCTGCAGGTGGAGCTGGAGGTGCGGGACGTGAACGACCACGCGCCGCGCTTCCCGCAGGCGGAGGTGTCCCTGGAGGTGTCGGAGGCGGCGCTGCCGGGGACGCGGCTCCCGCTGGGGCTGGCGCTGGACCCGGACGCGGGCGCCAACGGGGTGCAGAGCTTCGCGCTCTCGCCCAACCGGCACTTCGGGCTGGAGGCGCCGCGCCGCGCGGACGGGCTGAAGGGCGCCGAGCTGGTGCTGCTGGCGCCGCTGGACCGCGAGGCGCAGGCCTCCTTCCGCCTGGAGCTGGTGGCCAAGGACGGCGGGAGCCCCGCGCGGTCCGGCACGGCCACCCTGGCCCTGCGCGTGCTCGACGCCAACGACAACGCGCCGGCCTTCCCCCGCGGGGGCGCGCCGCGGCTGCTGGAGCTGCCCGAGGACGCGCCGCCGGGCGCCTTGCTGCTGGAGCTGGGCGCCGCCGACCCGGACGAGGGCGCCAACGGGGCGCTGCTCTACGCCTGGGGCAGCCAGGTGGGGGCCGAGGCGCGCGCCCTCTTCGCCCTCGACCCGCTCTCCGGCCGACTCAGCCTCCGCGCCGCCCTCGACTACGAGCGCCAGCGCGCCTTCGAGCTCGACGTCCAGGCCTCCGACCGCGGCGCCTCACCGCTCCGCGCCGCCTGCAAGGTCCTCGTCCGCCTCCTCGACGTCAACGACAACGCCCCCCAGATCGACCTCCGGCCCCTCCGCAGCCGGGCCCAGGAAGAGGGAGACGGAGGAGAGGGAGAAGAGCGGGGCCCCGACGGAGAGGAGGTCGCCTACGTCAGCGAGGCCGCCCCGCCAGGCAGCCTGGTGGCCCTGGTCAGCGTCTGGGACCGCGACTCCGGCGCCAACGGGCAAGTGAGCCTCTCCCTGGTCAGCCCCGAGGGAGGCAAGGAGGGAACCCCGCCGCCCTTCACCCTCCGCCCCGCCCACGAGGAAGACGACGACGAGGAGGAGGAAGATGATCCGGGCCAGGAGGAAGGCCAGGAGCCCGGCAAGGAGCGCGGGCGCAGCTTCCTGCTGCTGACGTCGGGGCCTCTGGACCGGGAGCGCGTGCCCGAGTACAACCTGACGCTGCTGGCCCAGGACCGCGGATCGCCCCCCGCCCGCTCCACGCGCCGCCTCTCCGTCCGCCTCGCCGACGAGAACGACCACGCGCCCCGCTTCGCCTCCCCCGCCCTCCGCCTCCCGCTGCCCGAGAACAACCCCCCGGGAGCCTTCCTGGCCGCGCTGGCCGCCCGCGACCCCGATCTGGGCCCCAACGGGCGCGTGGCCTACCGCCTCCTCCTGGATGACCAAGGGGGGCAGCAGCAGCTCCAACTCCGCGGGGCGCCACTGGCCACCTACGTCTCGCTGGACGCGGCCTCGGGCGCCCTCTACGCCCTGCGCAGCTTCGACTACGAGGCGCTGAAGGAGCTGTCGCTGACCGTGGTGGCCACGGACGGAGGGAACCCTCCGCTCTCCAGCGCCGCGCAGGTCACCATCCGGGTGCTGGACCTGAACGACAACGCGCCCGTCATCACCCACCCGGCCCCCCGCAACGGCTCGCTGGAGGTGTGGGTCTCGCGGCGGGCGGCACGGGGCGCCCAAGTGGGCCGGATCCAGGCGCGCGACGCCGACGAGGGCGAGAACGCGGCGCTGAGCTTCGCCCTGTTACCGGACCCGGGCGCCCAGGACGAGGAGGAAGCGGCGGGGGAAGCGCTGGCGCTCTTCGCAGTGGACGCGGAGAGCGGGGCGCTGGTGCTGACGGGCAGCCTGGCCGGGGAGCCGCCCGGGAAGGTCTTCCGCGCCCTGCTCCGCGTCTCCGACGGCGGGAGGCCCTCGCTTTCGGCCACCGCAGCCCTGCGCTTCATCCTCACCTCCTCGGAGGAAGAGCCCGCCTCCTCCTCCTCCTCGGGGGCCTCCTGGGAGGCGGCGGCGCCCTCGCCCTCCTCCTCCTCCTCCGCGCTGCACTGGGACGGGCCCCTCATCGTCATCGCCGTCCTGGCCGGGAGCTGCACGCTGCTCCTGGTCGCCATCATCGCCATCGCCACCAGCTGCAACCGGAGGAAGAGGCAGAAGCAGCTGCAGGAGAGGCTCAAGCAGCAGCAGCGGCAAGGCAACGTCCTGGAGGAGCCCCTCGACGACGGGGGAGCGGCCGGAGGGAGCCGAAGCAGCAGCCCCGGGCGACGGAACGGAGGAGCAGGAGGAGCAGGAGGAGGGAGCAGCAGCAGCCCCGGGACCCGCGGGGGAGGAGGCGGAGGCGTGGGCGTGAGCTTCGAGGTGCGCTCCTTCGCCAGCAAGTCCTCCTTCGCCAGCGCCGAGCCTTCCCCGGCCAGCGAGGACCCGCCGCCCTCCGAAGGCAGCCGCAGCGAGAGCGCCAGCCTCTACGACAGCAGCCAGGGACGCCTCCGCCCCGCCCACGCCCACGAGGTGAGCACGAGCCCTCTCCCCGCACTCACAGCCAAGCACAGGACTCGCGCTCTCTGCAGCCTTCACTCCCTTGCAGTCTGAGGACTTCCTCGTGGCCAACTTTGGGGCTTCCAACTCTCAGAAGCCCTCGCTCAGGTACCCGCAAACTGCGGCACTCCAGCTGTTTGGGCCTTCAACTCCCAGAATTCCTGACACTCAAACAAGCTGGTTAGGGCCCAAACAGCTGGAGGGCCACAGTTTGAGGATGCCTGCCCTAGCCAGTTTCCCCAATAGCCAGGTATTCTGTGAGGCAAACTTCAAAGCACCAGGGCACCACTGAAAGTGGGGTGCTGTGTGAAAACTGGTTGCATTCTAGCAGCATTTTCTCCTGACTTTTGCCTGCATCTATAGTTGGGCAATCAGACAATCATCTCAAGATGCCAGCCATAGATGCTGGGGAAACGTCAGGAGAAAATGCTGCTAGAACACGGCCTTACAGCCTGGAAACTACACAACACACCAGTGATTCCAGCCACAGCAATACCACTGAAAGTACTGTCAAAGGCTTTTGTGACTGAAATCACTGGGATGGTGTGTGCTATGCCAGTAGCATTTTCTCCTGATGTTCGTCCTGGAAAACTCATAGCAACCCAGTGATTCCTGCCATGGCAATACCACTGAAAGTATTGTCGAAGGCTTTCATGGCCAAAATCCCTGGGTTTCTGTGAGTTTTCCGGGCTGTATGGCCATGTTCCAGAAGCATTCTCTCCTGACATTTTGCCCACATCTATGGCAGGTATCCTCAGAGGTTGTGAGGTTTATTGGAAACCAGGCAAGTTAGGTTTATATATCTGTGGCATGTCCAGGGAGAGAGAAAGAACTCTTGTCTGCTTGAGACAAGTGTGAATGTTGCAATTGGCCAGCTTGATTAGCTTTGAATGGCCTTGCAGCTTCAAAGCCTGGGTGCTTTCTTTCTTTCTCCCATCCTGGACATTCCACAGATATATAAACCCCACTTGTAAATAAAAAACAACACTCAAAAAATAGAAGAATTCCAGATATGAATCAGTCAGGGCTAGCTAACACCTCCCAACAAAGGATTCCCCAGGCAGTAAGCAGCCAGACCTTGAAGCTGAAAGGCTATTCAGTGCCAATCAAGGTGGCCAGTAGCAATATTCACACCTGCCTCAAACAGACAAGAGTTCTTTTTCCCACCACTGAAAAGCATTTCCACCTCACTCAAATGGCTTCTTGCTTCTTACCTTGTTTCTGACCATGTTGCCCCTTCCTGTCTCTGTTTCTTCTCCTCTTGTTTCTCCCTCCCACTCCCTTCCAGTCCTACGCTTCGACTCCCAGCTATAGCAAAGAGACCGCCCCACCACCGGTGCCCATCTGGAAGGGCCACTCCTTCAACACCATCTCCGGCCGGGAAGGGGACAAGTTCAGTGGCAAAGACAGTGGCAAAGGTGACAGCGACTTCAACGACAGCGATTCAGACATCAGCGGGGATGCCCTGAAGAGAGACCTCATCACCCATATGCAGAATGGTAAGCATGCCACCCTCTCCCCATCACAGCCCATTCTCCTTTGCTCTTCAGGCTGAAAGCCTCCAGAGTTCTGGGACCTCATAATTTAGGGAAGCTGCTTTTAGTGCCAAGGGAGCAGAGACTCTGTTCAAATAAAAGCAGGCAATTACATGCAGTCATCCCTAGTGGTGCCATAGATCCTGACTGCTGTCATTGCCAAAGGGAAACCCTTTCCAGCCATTTCCTCCTTTCAGTCATTGTGGTGGCACACTGGGTGCCGGCAGGATTGATGACCAACAGGTCAACTGTTCGAATCCAGAGATAAGGGATTGAGCTCCCTCTGTCAGCTCTAGCTCCCCATGCTGGGACATGAGAGAAGCCTCCTACAGGATGGTAAAACATCCAGGCATCCCCTGGGCAATATCCTTGCATTTGATCAATTCTCTCACACCAGAAGCGACTTGCAGTTTCTCAGGTCGTTCCTGAAATGAAAAAAAAATGTACAGATGTAAAGGCGAGGGGGGGGGGGTATTGACACTGATTTTGTTTAGCTCCAATGGAGAACATAGTGAATACAAGGAAATCCAGAGGCATAATAATAATAATAATAATAATAATAATAATAATAATAATAGAAATTATTTATTATCCACCTCTCCTAATGGCTCAAGGTGCAGTACCACAAAACATATCAATATAAAATACATGCAACAAAACACGTACATCAAAAACACACCATTATAAAAACATCATTATACATTATCAAGCCTTCCCTTCCTGCTCAGTTTGGTCACAATCCAGATAGTACATTTCTGCATGCTTATTTTGAAGTGAGGGAAAGATAGCTGGAATTGTTCATATACATATGTGTGTGTTTGTGTGTGTGTGAGAGAGAGAGAGAATATTGTGTGTGTGTGTGTGTGTGTGCGTGTGTGTGCATAATACACTCTATTTATACCTCGCCTTTCTCTACCCCAAAGGGAACTCAAGGCAGCTTACATATAGGCAATTATTCAATGCCTTAAAGCACATACAATTCCAGTAACATTAAAATTAAAATTAATGCATATTCAGAATTTATGGTAAAATGTTTAAAATCATTACATTCAATATAAAATCACGCCATCCATCATCGTAGTCCAAAGATGTTCCGTAGTCATTGCACACACACACACACACTTCAGAATTCTGACACTTTCTGGAGTAGATAAATGGATAGCTAGATGGAGTGAGGGAAATGAATATATCAGGGTGGTTAGAAGATTCAAGGTGCACCTACACTAGAAAGTTGAAAGACCAGGTCCTCTCTGAATAATCACATAATTAATATGCTACCCAATGGGGTGATTAGTCTGAATTATCCTCATTTCATCCGAGTGGGGCTGTCAAAGTTGAATAGATGAGCAGGGACATGAAGCTGGGTTTCCCTGTGACATATAGTCCAGTGCACCCCATTGGCTGCCCCTGAGCCATGAAGGCACCACCCTTGGGAAAAGACAAAAGAGTTTTTCAGGGCCTACATATTTTTTATGTTCCAAAATGTAAAATCATGGCTGATTTAGCCAGAGAATTTGTGGCCCACTAGCCACTCTTGGGCTTCTTACAGTTCCAGATCTATAGTGGTTGGCCATACTCATTGGGACTGATGAGATTTGGCATCTGAAGTGGCCATGGTGACTTCACTCATTGATGACATTCACTGGTTTGACTTGGATCTCAACCTATGGGTCTCAACCTGTGGGTCCCCAGATGATTTGGCCTTCAACTTTCAGAAATCCTGCTAAACTGGCTGGGATTTCTGGGAGTTGTAGGCCAAAACATCTGGGGACCTACAGGCTGAGAACTTCTGGTCTAAGCAACTTCTATTTCCCAGGGCTCTTTTGAAGATGGAATACTTCACCATCACAAGCTCTTTGAAGCAAGTATGGGATGCCGTTGTGACCATTAATAATTCTCAAACCTCTTCCAAGCTGTGAAAAGCTAATCTTATTGAGAAGGTAGAACTTCACCTGTCCACAGATCTCTTGTGCTCCACCACCCAAGGTTTCCAATGAACTTTTGCTATTGACTTTTCATCCTGATAGAAAATGGAAAGCATGATAGAATACTGATCAAACAAAAATGTTTCAACAAACCCATGCTTTTAATTCAACCCTTTCCTAGAGCCCTACAGATGTCTTCCCATACATGTCCAAGTGCCTTCAAATCACCTGTTGACATATGACAACTCTATGGATATCATAGGATTTTCTTAGGCAAGGAATATTTAGAAGTGGTTTACCATTGCCTTCCTCTGAAATACAGCCCACAGCTCCTGTTATTGAAGCTTTGTCCTCTTCTAGTCCAACTCATTTGGAGGCTACTAGATTGAGGAAAGTGTTTGGTGTGATTGGTTCCAATATGCACATTTTGGATTTCCGCACACACAGTTCCCCGCCACCTGCTCTTTTTATTTTTGTGTGCAAGATTCCCTGGATATGGCCATAACTGTCTTTGAGCTAGTTCACTGCTGGAGCCAATATCCTGTCATGAGAATTCAGCAAACCTCTCACCAGATGGCCACCGTGTGATGGGTGGGTGATGGAATGTGTCCTGCATTACCAAGATTTGGCCATTATACATCTGTGTTCCTCCATGTGTGCACTATGTGAATTGCAAACACAAAAGTGGGCTGAGGTGTTTGTGTGGAAGCACTATCCCAGCCATAATAAAGAACACATTTTTACCACTCACTAAGTGAATCTGAAAGTGAGCAGTTTAGAAACTGATATCTAAGCCAAGAGCTCTGTGGACATTGTTCATTCTTCCCCAGACCAATTATGCACAAATAGTTCAATTCACATCAACATAATCCCACTGACAGAAACGGATTAGCACTGTTGAGTCCTATATGTTCCAATGTAGTTCAAGCACATTTATTTCAGCAGAAGAGCAAAGCTTGTGCAAAATTACTGAAAGTCAGCAGAGCTATTTCTTTCAAAGGAAGCTTTCCTTGACCAGGCCCATATTTAAGACAACGCTTTAACATGAGTGGCATCCGTTTTGGTGAGAAAAGAGTCTCCTTATGCGGACAATCAGCACAGCCATCAAAATAAGACACAGGATTGAAACAATAATTTTGAAGGAGGAAAGCCAAGTTTTGCCCTTTCTTTGCTGGATACAGCATTCTTTTCTGCAAGAGTAGTAGTAAACATAAAGGTTTCCCCTGACATGAAGTCTAGTCGAGTCTGATTCTGAGAGATGGTGCTGAAGAGCCGGCATTGTCCATACACACCTCCTAGGTCATGTGGCCAGCATGACTGCGTGGAGCGCCATTATCTTCCCACCAAAGCAGTCCCTATTGATCTCACATGTGCATGTTTTCAAACTGCTAAGCTGGCAGAAGCTGGAGCTAACAATGGGAGCTCACCCCACCCTTCCGGATTTGAACTGGTGACCTTCTGGTCAGCAAGTTCTACATCTTAGCAGTTTAACCACGGTTTTGGGCAATTACAGATCAATCTCCAATCTCCCTTTCTTGGGCAAGGTGCTGGAGCGGGTGGTTGCCTCTCATCTCCAGGGTTTCCTGGATGACATCAACTATCTGGATCAGTCACAGTCTGGCTTCAGGCCTGGTCATGGTACCGAGACGGCTTTGGTCACCTTGGTGGATGACCTCCGCAGGGAACTGGACAGGGGGAGTGTGACCCTGTTAGTTCTCTTGGACATCTCAGCGGCTTTCGATACCATCGATCATGGTATCCTTCCGGGACGACTCTCCGTGATGGGCCTTGGAGGCACGGCTCTGTCGTGGCTCCGGTCCTTCCTGGAGGGTCGTTCCCAGATGGTGAAGCTGGGAGACACCTGCTCAGACCCCTGGCCTTTGACCTGTGGGGTCCCGCAAGGTTCCATTCTGTCCTACGAAGTGGGTCTACAACCTTTAATTTACAAGGCTGGGTTCTCCGTTATTCTTTTTTGCCTTAGAATTGATCCAAAGGAACACATAGCTTTTCTGATCCAAAGCCGGAGGACACAGGAGGTAACCAGTTGCTAGAGTAACATAAGGGCTGACAAGAAGATGAGTTCTCTGTTTTTACTAAGCAGTGTTCTGCCTACTGCATGATTGTATTTATAAGTTACCCCTTTCTGTTCATATTCTTTTATAGGTTTGTGGGCTTGTACTGCCGAATGCAAGATCCTGGGCCACTCTGATCGATGCTGGAGCCCTTCCTGTGGTCGAACCAACCCGCACTGCGCCTCCCACCCAAAGACCCAGCTCTCCACTTTCTGCAAGAGTACCTCACTGCCACGGGACTCCATTCGCCGAGATAATTATTATCAGGCACAACTGCCCAAGACGGTGGGACTTCAGAGTGTCTATGAGAAAGTCCTGCACAGGGATTATGACAGGACAATGACATTGCTCTCTCCTCCCCATCCAGGGAGGCTGCCGGACCTCCAAGAGATCTCCGTGCCCCTCTACCAGGCTCCTTCTACTCGCTATTTAGGGCCACCTCCTGAGACTAATCAGAATGGCTAACCACTTCCCAGCACTTGACTTTTGCTCAGGCCCAGAGGGGTCTGTCTAGTACCAGTGTCAGGCCTGGAATCTGAATTTCTGAAATGATGCATTTGCTGGGGATGTTTTCTTCCCCTTTTCTGTATTTTGTGTTTTTGTTGAAGAGGACAGCGACTCTGAGCATGTGCAAAGTGTCTCTCACACAGCTTGGTGACTATGAGCAGCCCCAACAAGCCTCCAGGTTTACAGGAAAACTCTTTGTATCTTAGCTCTTCTTTTTTAGAAAGATTATAAACACTGCTTCCATACTGAGTCCCCACATCCCAACTCAAGCATGCACCTAGATAAATGCACACAGATCATTTCCAATAGTTCTTAAATTAATGACCAGGTTCAGTGTACAGAAGAACAAGCAAAACGTGCCTTAAAATATAAACGTGTTTTTGTACGCATGTGTGCATGCATACAAACATATATGCACACATAGTCCTGCACATACACATGGCTAGGTGTGTGTATGGAAGTCTCTGTGTGTATGATATGCATATTTACATACACATGTGCACACAGAAATACATACATGATCATGTATGTACATGGGCAGGTTTGTACAGATAGTTATATAGATATATATGGTGTGTTAAAGAAGTTGTTGGGAAAGATTTCCAATTGCGTTGGTACTGTTTGATATTTGCAAACAAAAACTCTTTGTAGTTATTGTAATTTTTATGAAATGTGCGGTATTTAATTCTTTTTTTTTTCTATGTTGCTCTTTTGCTTCACCCATGGCCTGCCTTTTCGTAGTGTTTTCTTAAACCTGTATATTATGTAATGTAATGTTTGTATATAAGGAAATTCCATTCTATTTTTATATAATAAAACCTTGGGGAAGGGGGACCAGAAATTCTTGCCAAAGGAAGTGTCTGAAAGACATGCTCAGAAGAAAAAGAACACTGAATCCTTTAGAAATCACTGAAAAGAACTTTCACAGATTAAGGATAGGTAACTTTAGCAACTTGCTTGTATGGGAAAGACTGCCTTGCCAAGTGTGAATTGTGTTTCTGGAGTCAGTTTGAAACTAACTGTGGTTTAATTATTCTGTGTCACTTATATAAACACTAATAAAGGACTTGTTATGTGTTGGAGGAGCTCAGATGCTACACTTTATTGTCATGTCTTTTTAAAAAAAGGAGTCCCCTGACATTAAGTTCAGTCATGTCTGACTCTGGGGTGTGGTGCTCATCTCAATTTCTAAGCCGAAGAGCCGGCGTTGTCCATAGACACCTCCAAGGTCATGTGGCCTACTAAAACCTAACGATGAATCATTAATATGGCCTCTCTATCAACAGCATCCAAAGGTTGCCCAGCTTCACTCCTCTTCCACTTAATTAAAGAAACACTCAAAACTATGCAGGGTAGATTTGCTGCTGTAAGCAATGGCTTGCTCCACAACTCAGTGTTAGTAGATTGCATTTTATCTGCAACCTCTTCCCAGAGAGCTACATAATGTAAATTAGTATTGTAAAGTCTCGCTTATCCGACCTTCGCTTATCTGATTTCCGTCTTATCCAACACCTATGCCCCCTTTTCCTCCAGCATTTTCCCCTAAATTAAAGGAACACCCCCCAACTCTCTCTCCATTCCCAATAAGTGACATTTAAATAATATAATCCAGATAAATTATAGCCAATTGTGAAAAAAAGTAAACAAATCAACAATTGGAAAAAAAATGGAATTGACACATTACAACAAGGCTGAAGGCATGCAACATGATGATATTACCTAATTTTTTATACTTATTCCAACCCTCCCATTTAGTATCCCACCTAAAATAATCAACAAATGTGATAATTCAATTTAAATGTGGATAGTAGGCTCCAGTAAGAACAGAATTGCTAACACAATATTTTTTGTTACTCCACAAGAAAATGGAGGCTGTTGAGTGCCTTGCCTCCAGAACTACTTTGAAGCCTGCCAATTGGCCATGTTGCTTGAAACAGATATTAGTGAGCCCAAAAGATGGGTCAGATTAGAGAAACTAATACATGGATAGAAATACGTATTGTGTCTTATGGGGAAAATCAGGAAAAAAAGATGTAAACAATATAAAAGAAGGCCTTTGACCTCAACAATGGTATGTTGGGGAAAATTGCAAGGCAAACTTCCAATAAACAAAATAGATAAGCTCTCAATAGGATCCATAGAGAATAGAAAACCCAATTTATACCAGAATATGTTAAAGAAATTGGAACAACATGGTATGACAAAGATGGAGGACTTCCTTTTCTCTTTCCTTCCTTCCTTCCTCCCTCTTTCTCTTTCCTTCCTTCCTTTCATCCTTCCTTTTATCTTTCCTTCCTCCTTCCTTCTCTGTCTTTCTCCTTCCTTCCTTCCTTCCTTCCTTCCTTCCTTCCAAGTAACACAATGGGAGGAGATAAAAGATTAGTGCGGGCACAGAAATTGGCTACAATCGGGAGGCTTGTCTAAAAAAGTAACAGAATAGAAGAGTAAGGAAATCTCAGAAAAAATATAATAAAATAGAAAGTAGAGAAGGAGAAAGGCATTATGGGATTCATATACAAAATAATCATGGGAGAACCATACAACACAAAATAATGATAGTCTAGAAAGAGGAATTAAGTTTCAGTGAGAGAAAAGTAGATAACTGGGGGGAAAATCAATTAATAAAATTAATAATTTAAAGATTAAGGAAATGCAACGGAAAATACTTACAAAATGATATAGAACTCCAATGCAATTGGCTTCTATAATGTGAACTTGTCCAAAACAATGTTGGCATAACCATGGAAAAATGGAACATACACCCACATGTGGTGGGAATGTGAAAAAAATAGAAAGGTTCTATAAAATAAACAAGGAGGAAATGGAGGAGCTATTAGGGATAAAAATAGATTGGAACAAGATACAATTTTTCGTTCAAAAAATGGAGGGCAATGGGGAACTTAAAGAATGAGATGAAATAATAAAATACATGTTAGATGGAAGTAAAATCTCAGTTGCCCTAGGCTGGAAGGACCAAAAGAAATGGGATATAAAATCTTGGGATAAATATCTAGCTGACTACCTACTATATAAGTGAAAGGAAAAGTTATTATCGGATGAGCCAAACCAGAAAGACCTGAGAGGCAAACGGAAGGGTCTCATTTCCAGAATAAAGGGGAAAGATAAATATAAAAAATTAAATAAGACTATCCTCGTGATTGAACAATTATAATAAGCATAGCATAGTAAACTGCTATGGGGAGAAAGGGGGAGTGAGAAAGAGGGGAAATTATGTAAAACAGGATACTGGATGATGAAGAAAACAAAATGAGTGCTTTTGAGAACCTTAGACAGACAGTTGTGTATAAGATCAATAAGACTCTGAGCTACAATCTATTTGTATTGTGTTTAGACTATAGAATAGCTGGAGAAACCAGGGGGAAATTATTTCATGCTTGCTCATACTGAGGTATAAATATTCAATAGTATTCCTGTACCTTTGTATTTTGTAAAGTGAACAATAAAAATAAAACACGGCAGAGATGGAATTGGGCCCGCCAAACACACTCACTTCTTTGATGCCAGACCCATTTCTCCTACAGAATCTATTTCATAGAAAATGGCAAACCAGTAAACCAAAGCATTCATGAATTTATAATGGTGGGAATTACCCCCGCCTCCACCAAAATACTCAGCACTGCTCCTCTCATTTTCTGGGTTATTGATAGGTGGAATCCATACAACTTGAGTTTCTGCCGCCACCAACTAGAAACAGGCAGAACACAATCTCACAATAGAACTGGTCTGCACTGGCCATATTGGTTAGAACTTCTGTGAGTTGAAGCTTATGCCGTCTAGAGCAATGGTTCCTAACCTTTGTTCCTCCAGGTGTTTGGGACTTCAGCTCCCACAGTTTGTAACAGCTGGTAAGATGACTGGGATTTCTGGGAATTGAAGTCCAAAACAAATGGAGGACCAAAGATTGGAAACCCCTAATCTAAGGGCCCTTCCACACAGCCCTATATCCCAGAATATCAAAGCAGAAAATCCCACATTATCTGCTTTGAACTGGGTTATCTGAGTCCACACTCAGATAATGTGGGATTTTCTGCCTTGATATTCTGAAATATAGGACTCTGTGGAAGGGCCCTTAGAAACAAAGAGAAAGAACCTGTGTTCTAGCAGCTTCTACCATCTACTTATGTCTAAGAAGAATGTTCAAACTCAACCTACTGATTATTATGACAGGTTTCAGGAAAAGGAGTTTCAAGTAAGATTGTCTGCACTCAGAGGCTGTCTGATAAATTAAAGGTGGATTTTCTTGTTTTTTGAGGAATCAGATTGTAATTTCAGTGTGAAATCTCTGCTTCTAGAAGAGGACTGTCAGGAGTCCAGAGGCAATGTTTTTGATTCGGGGGGGGGGGGGGGGGGGGGAATAGTAATAATCAGCCTGAATATTTTTATTCTGAGGATTTTGTTCTTCTGTTGTCAAATACCTCTGCAGTATTGGAATTTGCTTCATCTAAAGCTGGTTTGAATGCCCAGCATGGGACAACCTCTTATGAAAGAGATGCTCCTACCACAACCACATTTCTCAGGGAGAGAGATTGCCTTTTCTATTCACCTTTCTCCATCTGATAAGGTCAAGATGGGCTACAGCTCTGCACAGCAAGAGAGGAACTCTGGTAGCTCACAGATTTTATTTCACAGTGCTCAAGGCTCCTACTGTGTTGCCTCCTCAGTTTCAGACTTTCTGGTCCCCAAAAAAGGATAAGGCTTCTGCAAGGACCCCAAGGAAAAGTATACCAAAGGTGCCTTGACGACAACCCTGGGAGATAGTGGCCATAGCAAGGAGGGCTTCAGCTGCTGGTTCACTATTTCTTCATCCTTGCTATGTGTGAAGGACATATTATAGAGGAAAGATCTGGATTAAAATAATTGCATAAATGCCTTTTTAGGCTTTTCAGGTCACTTCAGTTTGTGGCAGATGCTACCCAGGACTCTCTTACCTTTGCAGCAATATCTATATTAGTGATCACCTGGCTTAAACAGTGAAAGATAGATGCTCATTCTAGAGCAGTGGTTCTCAACCTGTGGGTCCCCAGGTGTTTTGGTCTGGGGACCCAGAAATCTGAGCCAGTTTAGGATTTCTGGGAGTTGAAGGCCAAAGCCTCTAGGAAACCACGGATTGAGAACAACTGTTCTAGAGCAACCCTATTCATGGCACCCTTTAAAGGCACAAACTTGTTCAGGGAAGAATGCCTTAAAAATAGCCCAGTGGAGACTAAGCGCAATTCACTGGTGATACCTACTGCATTGGGGGGGGGGGGGGGGGGCAAATTAAGTCATCTTAATTTTATTCTTTGAGGAGTTCTGGAAACTCTTCCATGCCTTCATGGGCTAGATCTAGATTTCCCTTTCAAAAGTCTTCAAACTTCCAGCCCACATCCATCTGCAAAGAGGGTTATCAGATCCTAAAGTGTGGGGGCAGACAGTCGTTCTGATACCAAGATGCCTCCAGTAGGGGGCAGATCGGTTCTGGGCTCTAACAACCATAGACAGGTGGATCTTATCCATGATTTCTCAAGGTTGTGCAATTAAGTTCACCCAGGATACCCAGAGCAAGTTTCTGTTCTTTTCAATTCCAAAGGACAGTCTGAAAAGAGATAAAATATTCAGACCTTCAGACATCTTCTCTATATCAAGGAAATAGAAGAAGCCCCTTCCTTGGGACATTTTTCAGAAGTTCATTCCATCTTCTTCATGAGTCTGAGGAAGGGAGAGGACTGCAGATCCATTTTGGATTTGAAGCACACAAACTCCTTCATTGTGTACACATGGAAGCATTGTTTTCCATCCAGGAGGTAGTCAAGAAGGGAGATTTCCTAGACTCTCCCCTGGACCTTACAGAAGTGTAGCTTGCACATTCCTATCACCAAAAAATGGAAGGTTTTTCAGGTTTGTCATTGTTCATCATCATTACCAATTTTGTGGTATGTCTTTCAGTCTAGCCTCAACCAGGGTATTTATCAAAATACTAATTGCCCTGGAGGCCAAACTCAAGCTGCAGGGCATACACTTGCATCCACACCTGGACAAGGTGCTCCTAAAAGCCATGTCTTTTCAAGGTGCCCTGCAGGATCCA